GTTGGTGTTTAAGCTCATGTCTTTGTCAGGTCAAAAAATTTGTTGCTTTGACGAACCACACTTCCATAAAGTCAAGTCAGGAATTGTGTTAAATTGTAATTTCAAGTTTTATTAATGTGCCTTTTCATACATGTCGTGTCTTGTTGTCGTAACTTATTGCTAGAATGTTTTTTTTGTTTTAAGTTAGCCATTTCAGCTAGATTTTGTTGTCCAAAATTTAGTTGCTTTTTTCAAACATATCAAAACTTAAAATCTAAAATAGTGGCGAGAAAAAAATCTAATTAATGCAATTTATGATTGCGTACATGTCAAGTCTTGTCTCAACTCTCAAATTTAGCAACTACTTTTTTTTTTTTTTTTACCAAAACATATCCCCATAAAGTAAAATCTTCAGTCGTATTTTTTGTAGTGTTATTAATCTGATAAATTTTACGGTGAGACATCTCTTAACTTTCTTCTCTAGCAATTTTATGCAGTTTTTTAAGGCAAAATTTAAGAGTGAAGGAAAAAAATTTGCTATCAAAGCAGTATACCACTCAAAATGCATTTTTATTAGCATTTTATTGTTCTTCATTGTGTCCGACTATTTGTTAATTTGCCAAAACATGTCTCCATAATTTAAAATCTAGAATAAGATTGTGTTATTTATACAGTATATTGTGCAGTTTTTACTTTTTTTGTCATGTCCATGTCATGTGTTCACCGAAACATCTCCCCATAGAGTAAAATTTACACTTGTGGAGTTAAAAAAGTACTATACATTGTACACATCCAGTCGTGTCGTGTTGTGTCCTCTTGTCGAAACTCATATTTTCACTTTTTTTTTTTTTTTATTTGCCACTTTAGCTAGATTTTCTTTTCGTTTACTGCTTTGCTAAAACTTATCTAAAATAGTGAAGAAAACGGGCAATTAATGTATTTAATTGTTAATTTTTTTTTTTACCTTAGCTCAAAAAAATTTCATTAGTTTTGCCATCAGTTTTGTTTTGTTTTCTTTTTTTGCTTGTTAAATTTGCAGCTTCACCAAAATATTTCTCCATAAACTAAAATCTACACTTGCGGTGTTAAAAAGTGCTATACATTGTACACATGAAGTCTTTTCAAAATGTTATTTTTATTTTTTTTTTCCAGGTCCTCCAGAAACTTTAATTAGAGAAAAGAAACACATGTCCGGCGATGTGTTGCTTTATTAAAAATATCTCTGCAATTTAAAACCAAAAATATTGAAGGACTAAATCTGCTATTATTAGTAGTAGTAGTTCTATATCGTAAACATTGTAACAAAATCTTAACACAGATTTTGAAGTTCTTTTTGCTACTTAACCTAAATTTCCTTTGTCATGTCCAAAAATGTCCTGTTCCACCAAAACACAAGACTATATGTTCATAAACGAATGTACACACTTGTGATTTTAAAAAGTGCTATTTGTTTTTTTTGTGTTGTTGTTTGTTTGTTTGTTTGTTTTTTGGTCTTTTTTTTTTTTTTTTCACTTCCTCCAGCCAGATTTTCTCCGCCACGTCCGACCATTTGTTGCTTTGTCGGTATCTTCACAATTTCAAATCTAAAATAGTGAAGTACAAACGATGCTACGGCGTCCTCTCTGAACTCGTACGGATCTTTGGTAGCGCGGCGTTGGCGATGGCGTTAGCTAGCCCTCTCATCTCCTGGGGTTAGGGCGTGTGTGTGTGTGTGTGAGTGTGTGTGTGTGTATGTGTGTGTGTAGTCGGTGCGCTAATTGACCTTGTAGGGGGGTTCCATTGATTGCCTCATCTTCTCTGATAGATTATGGGCTTGTTAATGTGGTGGCGAAATGGCAGGCGGCATGGCAGGGCACAGCTGTCGTACTACGCACACACACACATACACACACATGCACACACACACGCATGCACACAGGCTCACACAAACATGCATATATATACATACACATAAACATGTATACAAACCCATGCACACAGACTCACACACATATGCTCCTACACACACACATGCACATACACACACACACAAGTATACAAACACATGCACACAGGCTCATACACACATGCTCATACACACACATGCACACACACACGTATACAAACACATGCACACAGGCTCACACATTCATGCTCATACACACACATATACACACACGCACACAACACATGCACGCAACCTCACACACACATGCACACACACATGCACATACACATGCAAGCACATATAGGCATATGCACACACATATATACGCGCACACACACATACAGCATATACGCGCACGCACACACATACAGGCATACGCACACATATATATACGCGCACACACACACATACAGGCATACGCACACACATACAGGCATACGCACACACATATATACGCGCACACACACACATACAGGCATACGCACACACATACAGGCATACGCACACACATATATACGCGCACACACACATACAGCATATACGCGCACGCACACACATACAGGCATACGCACACATATATATATATACGTGCACACACACATACAAGCATACGCACACACACATACAGGCATACGCACACACATACAGGCATACGCACACACATATATACGCGCACACACACATACAGGCATACACACACACACATACAAGCATACGCACATACACATACAGGCATAAGCACACATATATATATGCGTGCACACATATATATTCGCACGCACACACGTACAGGCATACGCACACACACAAATGCACACATACGCAAACACACAAACATTCACTCACACATGCATACACACACACATACAGGCATTCACACACACAAACATACACACAAACATACACTCACACATACTCTGGGTAACCACAATTTGAATGATGATTTTTTTAAATTTATTTTGATTATTATTTTTCTTTTTTTTTTCTTTTTTGCAGGTGCCTTCGTTGATTTCGGTGACTGAACACCATTATATAATTATACACAAATTACGATATAGGATATAGAACATAAATATTTATTATAAAAGCAATGAAAATGTAAACGAAAGAAAACAAAACAAAATGAAAGTGCCTGTATGTAACTTTTATATCATTTTCTCCAGATAGTATAGTGAAAAAATGTGCAATTTAAAATTACAAAAAAAAAAAAAAAGATAAAAAGATAACATTGTTTACTGATTGCATTTTAAGACACGTTGATGTTGTTTGAAGACCTACATGTCGTAGTTGTTTCCTTCTCATTGACCAAGTTGTATTTAGATTTATTCATGCAGGTTTGAGTCGTCTTTATTCTCCTGTATTCAAGACATCCCCCCACTCCACTTTTATATTCTTAATCAGTCATTTGTGTAGGATTCTGCAGCATCGTGAAGTAATTTTGGAACAATTTTTTTTTTTAAATCTGCCGCTTACTAGTGTGATTGATGTGCAGCTATCCATCGGAGGAACCAGCAGCTGCACAGCTTTTTGTTATGATGATGTTCACAGCAACGTTGGGCACCAAAGTTTTCCAACCCAGACGTCGACGCGCTTTTTATGACTTCAAATGTCCAAATTCTTCTCTCAAACAGAAAACACACGGTTCTACTTTGTGACGTCATGTGGTAATACAGGAAGTGCCCCACTGTGTTTTTAAACTCCATACATTTTCACTAGAATCATTTGGATCATTTCAGACCTGGAATTGCCAATCTCTACAGAACAAAAGATAAAGAGTAGCTGTTAACTTGCAAACTATCGCTTCATTACATCACAAGGTGGAACAGAGCATTTTGAGCTTTGAATTACTCAACCTCCAAGTACGTTTTTGAGGAGATAACAAGATTATAACACAATTTTGCCTAATATTTGACCTTTAAACCTGGAAAACATTACAGTAAATTTAAAAATGTGTCGTTTATTACAATGATTCAGGTTTGTCGTTATGAAAAAGCGATATGGAAATGTTTGTTTGTTCGTTTTTTGCAAGGTTGGCGTTTTTAATCCAGCCATCCAATCCGCTTCCCCCGTTCGGCCTAAGTGAGCGAGCGAAGGAGGTAACGGTGAGAGCTTCGTGTGGCCAGAAAGGAGAAAGGCGTCGTCGCATCCGAGACGTCACAGGCCATTCTTCCCAAGGCCGAAGCTCTAATACTCTAATAATATCTCTTTATGAATGAGACATAATGTATCTAGGGCTGATTCAATACGGCGAGTCTGAATGGAAAACGACATTGTTCTTCGGTAAATTGGATGTATGTGGAGGATATTATCAAGGCCAGACGCTGCGATTAAATAAAAAGAAATAGATACGAAATAGAAATGTAAAAAAAAATATGTGTCACGTTTGTCATCATGTCATGTTTTCCTATAAAAATAAGAGATTTCAGGTGTAAAAACTGCAAAAATACAGTTTGGAAACATATTTTGGACGTGTGAATCTGAAATTTCACGCATCTTTTTGTTGAAATTTTAGATAAAAAGAAATTTACTGAGGATGTTTTGGATATTTTAGTTTGTACTGAAAATTTGCGTAAATTTTCAAGTTCAAATTCAAATTGGAAAAACAAAAATACATCAAATTTGGAAGTAGTTATCAGCAAATCCTTCTGTACGATCTGTTTTTTTTTTTTCTTTATGTTGTAGCATCAAGATTTAAGCAAGAAATTACGTAGCGGAGAAAAATAACTCTAAATTTGTGTTAATTTTTCGATCCAAATTGCTCAAAGTATGCGTTCTTTCGTGATTTTGATGAATCGACGGCGTAAATAGTCACAAAAGTAAAGAAAAATATTAGTTACCCCTGTACGTGTTCATGCCTGTTGTTACCCTGCTCTCCATGCACGCCCTGTTCACCTTCCATTAACGGCCCATTTGTTTTCTCGCACAGTGGAGTTGTGATAAAACGATCTGGAACTATAGGAAAATGCACAAGTAAAAAGAATCAGTAAAAGTACTCTTGTATCTGCATCTGAGTGTGTCCAAACATGTCTAGAAGTATAAATATTTTGTGAGTATTTTTTGTGCAGCTTGTTTCGCTCCTTAACCCTCGTTTCAGATTCAGGAGGGCCTCTCTCCGAACCACCTGAAGAAAGCCAAGCTCATGTTCTTCTACACGCGCTACCCCTCGTCCAACATGCTCAAGATGTACTTCGGGGACGTCAAGGTAAGACCGCCGGTCCGTTACCCTGCTCACTATGCACGCCCTGTTCACCTGCCATTAACGGCCCTTTTGTTTTCGCGCTGAGTGGAGTTTGTGTTTAATTGTCGGTGATTAAATGAGCTGGAACTATGGGGAAACACACAAGTGAAAGTAGTAAAAGGACTCTAGTATGTGTACTTTCACCGAGTACGTTTTAAAGTAGGTATTTTTCACTTGTACTTCATTTGAGAGCAGGTATTTGTACTTTCTACTCCACTACATTTTGGAACGGGATGAAAAGTAAAAGTATTTTTGATGATAGTTTGAGACCTGCTGAAAAGGTTTAACATTTTTTAACACATTTATAATTTCAGTAAACTGAAATATACAAATAAAAACTGTTACCAAAAAAAATCTGTTTTCTAAAAAAACTAAATTCAACTCAAATCTGTATCAAAATCGCAAAATTTTAATTTTTATTAGATTTCAAGATTTGCTTGTAATACTTTTACTTTTTACTCTTTAAGTACATTTTTAAACGGGTCCTTATTAATACTTTTACTTTTTTTAGTAGATTTTTTTGCGTGATAATTTTACTTTTACTTGACAAAGCAGTTTTTTGTTTCTATATGTACTTTTACTTCTGACAACAGAATCGAGTACTTCTTCCACTAATGCATGTTTTTAAGCTCTTATAACATCATCATTATTTTGTATTTTGTTTTAAATTTTTTCCATTGTTGAAATCTGTTGAATTGCGCGATTTTGGGGTCAGTTGTTCAAGAGTTAGTGGTAATGCAAACCATTGTAGTTTTCGCAGGAAGAACACCAAACTCCGAATTGAAAGGCCATACCTGTTTGGGAATTGAACCTAAAACGTCCTCATTGTGGGGCAAATTAACTAACCGCTATGACACAGTTTTTGTAGCATTAAAATTAACCAACTGTCAAATGTGTTTTCATTTTTTTGCAAGCACATTTTGTTTTCACAGCTGCTGTGAACGATTCTGCAATATTTGACATTTCGTTAAATAAATAATTTCCTTAATTTAAAAATTCAATGTGCATTTGAGGTGAAATATTTAAATAGGAAAAAAAATTTAATAAAAAAATAAACAGAAAAAAAATAAAAAACAACATGACTTTTAGTAAATGGTGTTTTCATAATATAAAAAGTAAATATATTGAAACAGAAATTTGTCTATGAATTTACAATATTGAATAGAAATAAATACATAGACATTAACCTACAATAAACACAAAAACAAAAAAAAAAAACAGACTTTTGTGTTTTTGAAAATACTATGACCAAAATAAGAGCAGGGGCAGATGGAGCAGAGCAGTTGTAAACAGGTAGCGTCCATCTTGTCCTCCTTAGATTGAATTACCCGTGTTTATTCATTCTCATTTCCCGGTCCTGTTTTTCTTTTTTCTTTTTTTTTTTTTTTTTTCCTTTTTTTCCCACAATATTTACGACTATTCCGCCTGCGCTTGTTTTTGACGGTCAAGCCGCGTGAGCCGACGGCGCAGATGGGTCCTCCGGTCTGTCACGTCCGTGGAGCATAATTAGAATGAGTGGCCTTAATCGGAGCGGGGCGGAGGTGGGTGGAGGGGGTGTGGAGGGTTCGACGCCCACTTTCCCTCTCTCACCCCCCCCCCCACCCACACACCCACCCAGCACCCAAACACCGCTGCTCCTCGTCCCCCCTCGTTTAGCTCCCTGTCTGTTCACTAATGCACTTTCACTGTTGTTTTCAGAGGCAGACTGGGAGGGGTTATAGTTTTTGTAGTTTTTGTAGTTTTGTAGTTTTTGTAGTTTCTGTATTTTTATAGTTTTGTAGTTTTTGTAGTTTTATAGTGTTTTGTAGTTTTGTAGGTTTTGTAGTTTTTGTATTTTTATAGTTTTGTAGTTTTATAGTTTTTTGTAATTTTTGTAGTTTTATAGTTTTGTAGTTTTTGTAGTTTTGTAGTTTTTGCTGTTTCTGTAGTTTTTGTAGTTTTGTAGTTTTTGTAGTTTTATAGTTTTGTAGTTTTATAGTTTTTTGTAGTTTTTGTAGTTCTGTAGTTTTTGTAGTTTTGTAGTTTTTGTGGTTTGTCATTTTTGTGGTTTGTCATTTTTGTGGTTTGTCGCTTTTGTGGTTTGTCGTTTTTGTCATTTTATAGTTTTGTAGGTTTTGTAGTTTTTGTAGTTTTGTAGTTTTTTGTAGTTTTTTGAAGTTTTGTAGTTTTTGTAGTTTTGTAGTTTTTTGTAGTTTATTAGCATGGGGATTTAGAAAGAAGAGCGTATTAATGAGTTATGAGAGAATTTTTGGGGGGGTTGAATGTTTGTGAAATAGGGTTTAAATGTATTTATTTATTTATTTTTATTTTGATGTGTGACATTTTAAAATGTACTGCCAACTTTTTTTTTTTTTTTTCACCTTTATTTTTGTCTTTGTTAAAACCAAAGATGGATTTCAGCTTTTCTAATAGTTGTACTTTTCTACACACACACACACACACACACTTTTTATCTTTTTTAGCAGTTATTGTATCAAGGGGTCGAAAGCGATGGAGTGCAAAAGTAAAACTACAATTATTATGTACAATTTTTTTTTTACGTATCTGTACTTTGCTTACGCCAGTTTTAAAGTGTATGCTTTTTACTTTTACTTCACTACATCTGAGCATGTATTTGTACTTTCTACTCCACTATATTTTACTAGAAAGTACTTTTCTTTATGGCGTGAGACCTGTTGAAAAGACTGAGACTTTTTTTTTAAATCACATCGAATTTGAGCAAACCAAATCCACAAAAACAGCGAGATAAATTAAGAAATCAATTGAATCACTTAAAATCAGCTGAATTCTTTATCAAAATCACTACATTTCATCCTTTAATTGTTCTAAAAATCTCTGCAAAACACTTTCACGTTTTACTTTTTAAGCAAATTTTTAAACATGCACTTCACTTTTACTAACGTAGATTTTTACTTTTATTTGAGTAACTTTTTGCCCTCGTATCTGTACTTATACTTCAGTAACAAATTTGCGTACTTCATCCACCACTGCAGAAGATTATTTTTTATGTAGAACTGAACTGCTTGTGTTATAGTCGTTTATTTTATTAAGTGTTTTTATTCTCTTGAAGCACTTTAAAACGTGTAGTGGTGTTGGCACTTTGCTGGGTCATGACACAACGAGGTTTTATTGTTTTTATTGCGCTTTTTTAGGATGTTTACTTTTATGTGTAGTGCCAAGATATGAAAGGCAAACAAGGCGAAGGCGTCCCCAACTGAAATCATTTTGTTTCTTTTATTTATCTCTGTAAATTTGAGGAATAGTCTCGTTTAGAATCCAGTGTGTTTTGTGTTAGACTGTGAAATGTCTCTATAAACCACAGTTGAACACACACACACACACACACACACGTGCACGAGTCTGCCCTTTGGCTCGCGTCGGCCTGCCCACTTCCTCTTGGCAGTGCCACATCCCCGGCCGGCGCCATGGCAACGCGGGCGGCTGCCTGGGACACCGGTCGCTAGGCAAACACCGGGTCGCTAAGCCCGTACCTGCCCACGGACAGAGAGAACGGAGAGAGGGAGAGAACGGAGGGAGGGAGGGGTGTAATCTGAGAGACAGAGAGAGAGAAGAGAGACAGAGGGGGGCGGTGGGAGGGAGAGAAAAAGAAGAGACTTACAGAGAGAGAAAAGAGAGGGAGACAGAGAAGAGAGGGAGAGACAGAGAGACAGAAAGAGATACAAAGTTGGAGAGCGAGAGAGAGACAGAGAGAGATACGGAGGTGGGGTGCGAGAGAGACAGTGAGAGAGAGAGAAAAGAGGGGGAGGGAAGAGACAGAGAGAGGGAGGTAGGGAGAGAGACAGAGAGAGATACAGAGAGAGAGAGAGAAAAGAGGGGGAAGGAAGAGAGGGAGGTAGGGAGAGAGAGAGAGACAGAGAGAGAAAGAAAGAAAGAGAAAGAAAGAGAGTGAGTGAGTGAGAGAAAGAGAGAGATACAGAGAGAGAAAGTGAGGGACGGAGAGACAGAGGGGGGGAGAGAGATACAAAGAAAGAGAAAGAGAGAGAGAAATACAGAGAGAGGGGGAGAGAGACAGAGAAAGAGACAGAAGAGAGAGGGACAGATAGAGAGAGATACAAAGGGAGGGAGATAACAGAGAGATGAAGAGAGAAAGAGACAGAGAGAGAGAAGAGAGACAGAGGGGGACAGTGGGAGTGAGAGAGAAAGAAGAGACTTACAGAGAGAGAAGAGAGGGAGGGGTGTAATCTGAGAGACAGAGAGAGAAGAGAGAGGGGGGAGGGCAGAGAGAGAGAAGAGAGGGAGAGACAGAAAGAGATACAAAGAGGGAGAGAGGGAGGTAGGGAGACAGAGAGAGAGATATGGGGGGGCAAGAGAGAGATGGAGAGAAAAGAGGGGGAAGGAAGAGAGGGTAGTAGGGAGAGATACAGAGAGAGAGAGAGAAGAGGAGGGAAGAGAAAGAGAGGGAGGTAGGGAGAGATACAGAGAGAGAGAGAAAAGAGGGGAAGAAAGAGAGGGAGTTAGGGAGAGAGAGAGACAGACAGAGAGAGAAAGAAAGAAAAGAAGAGAAAAAGTGAGTGAGAGACAGAGCCAGAGAGAAAGAGAGACAGAAAAGAGTGAGTAAGTGAGTGAGTGAGAGAGAGAGAAAGAGAGAGATACAGAGAGAGAAAGTGAGGGACGGAGAGACAGAGAGAGGTGGTAGAGAGAGATACAAAGAGAGGGAAAGAGAGATAGAAATACAGAGAGAGGGGGAGAGAGAGAGAGAGAGAGAGAAGAGAGGAGAGAGAGAGAGAGGGAGGGAGAGAGTGAGAAGAGAGAGGGAGAGAGAGAGAAGAGAGAGGGAGGGAGAGAGAGGGAGAGAGAGAGAGAGAGAGAGGGAGGGAGAAGAGAGAGGGAGGGAGAGAGAGAGGAGAAGAGAGAGGGAGGGAGAAAGAGAGAGGGAGGGAGAGGAGAGGGAGAGAGAAGAGAGAGGGAGGGAGAGAGAGAGAAGAGAGAGGGAGGGAGAGAGA